TAAATTTGGTTTAACTCATGCATTTTTAGCCTTCTTTCAAATCGAAAAGGACCTGTTTCCCTTTCTTTGACATTAGAGCTGACTGTTAACTAGGTAATCATAAATATCATATAATATGTGCAATTGCATGGCAACTTGTCCTCCTAATGAAGGATAATTGCACCTGGAGTTTGCAGCTGCAGAGCCCTTTCTCCCTTTGGAAATTATAGATTAAAAGCTCTTTATATTCATTAGCTGTTGTTGGAGTGAGAGCTGCTTCTCGTGATCCACGAACAGCTTTTCAATTATCGTGCTTTTTTGATTATTTTGACAATTATTTAACCTTTATAAATACTTTAATTCCGAAAAAGTTGGAATATGTTAGAAGTGTTTGGCTGGAGGTAATGAAGAATATTACTATTAGTGTAATTGATTTCGTAAAAACATTCTGGCTCACAATTGATAATAATAACCACTACCAGCACTATTGCTTAAACATTAGATGAGCTGGAAATTTATAATTCAATCCCAACATTGGAAACAAAGATTTTAACTCTGAAGACTCATATTCTGATTTGATGGTGGTTATAGTTATACTGAGTATTTTTTTGCAGTAAATGTTCTATAAGCATTCAATTCTCGTGAATTCGAATCATGGACAAAATTCGATAAATTTTTCCTTTTTTCATCGACGAAAGATTTAAATGATAAGAAAGATTTAAATGAACATTTTTAAACGATTGTTTTCTCGTTCGGAAGATTTCTCAGCTACTCGAGATTTAGTACCCGAGATTTTAGGATCTGTAGGTAGAATTCCAGACTAATGTATGTTTCAGTCTCTGTGGACCCATCTAATGTGGTGCAGGTTTTACTAATTTTTCCATCAAGGGTATCCATTTTCATGATTTCTATCTTAACCACGCACTGTTTATCTAATTTCAGCCACTCGAGCAGTTTCAGATTTCTATCTTAGCCATGCACCGTTTATCTAATTTCCATCACGACCCGCACAGTTTCTGTAACGGTAGAAACTAGCACCTGCCCAGTACCCTCAATTCCAAGCGGCTTTAAGGCACTCATAAATTGACTTTGCGCTATTCGACACGGAGATTTATACTGAGCTCACAACTCTGCAAACTGGCACCACATCACACGCTACAGCTTACTATTGTGTTGCCAGATACTTTTGTTCGCGGGGGTTCTCGAATCTTGGGTACTATTACTGCTACACCCCGCTAATAATCCATTTAGCTTCCCCATGTTATACTTCCCAATATCTTGATATGCTTTCATTTCTCGTGCCACTCTTTATTGAATATATGTACTTTATTAAGTGCTAAGCTGGTCAAGGCACTGTACATGACTACCTACGTTCTTCTCTGATATTTTGAGGAGTAATTCGATCTTGCTGTTCCTTGGATTGAGTGGTTTGAGCGTCATTAAACTGCTGATCGATTACTGTAAATATAATATAATATATAAAAGCTGTTGTGAGCTGCTTTAACTTGTTCAGTCGGGGATATCTTAAGTTTTTATTGAGCGGTTTAACACTGAGTTGAGTGATAGTGTTATTACTGTTACGTGTACTACTGTTGAGTTGTGAAGTGTGGGAGGATGTGTCAGCTGTGAGTGTTACAATAATTTACCAAGTCCTGAAGTTTAGTGGAAACTGCTCTACTGCTTCCACTACCAAATATAGAAATAGAAATGTGTCCACCAAAGCAGTAAAGCACTATAAGTATATAAATCAAGATATGTGGTACGTCGATCAGCGCCGAAAATGCTGTGAATATCGCAACGTGTTGATAAATAAGCTATATGCGCACTCTTTGTTATTGCTGAATTTAGTATTAGTAATTGTGTCAACTTTATTCTATGTAATAAGCTCATAGCTTGATAGTCATCATCTGCAACACTCTACAGTCTACAGCTATCTGCAACTAATCAACAGATTTTCATCTAGAAAACGAGTGTGTTGTTAGCGAATAAATTTATCACATTATATATATTGGTTCTTTTCATATCTTTAGATATACTTTATTACTTTCGCTCCTCATTTTCATTCCTCGCATACTTGTTTATTGGCGTGCGTGTCAACGTAAACATATTTCCTGTAAGGGTGAATCGATTAAAGGACACTAGCTATATCTCCTCTCGACACACCATCCTGTCAACAGTATTTCCTTTTTCTAACACCTCCACACTATTTTAAGCAAAGTTAATACTTAACGGTCTGCTGGAATTGCATGTTTCAGCTGACCAGAGTGACAATTATTTTACTGTTGACCGTCTAGGTTGGTGCTGGTAAGATTTGCCGTCGCGTTAATTTTGAGAGAGAATGGTATTCGGATCACACTGCTGACCTTTTGTCTTACGTCTATTATACTCCAGCAATATTTGCCTGTAGTTTTCTCTAGCTCTCTCTCTCTCTCTCTCTCTCTCTCTCTCTCTCTCTCTCTCTCTCTCTCTCTCTCTCTCTCTCTCTCTCTCTCTCTCTCTCTCTCTCTCTCTCTCTCTCTCTCTCTCTCTCTCTCTCTCTCTCTCTCTCTCTCTCTCTCTCTCTCTCTCTCTCTCTCTCTCTCTCTCTCTCTCTCTCTCTCTCTCTCTCTCTCTCTCTCTCTCTCTCTCTCTCTCTCTCTCTCTCTCTCTCTCTCTCTCTCTCTCTCTCTCTCTCTCTCTCTCTCTCTCTCTCTCTCTCTCTCTCTCTCTCTCTCTCTCTCTCTCTCTCTCTCTCTCTCTCTCTCTCTCTCTCTCTCTCTCTCTCTCTCTCTCTCTCTCTCTCTCTCTCTCTCTCTCTCTCTCTCTCTCTCTCTCTCTCTCTCTCTCTCTCTCTCTCTCTCTCTCTCTCTCTCTCTCTCTCTCTCTCTCTCTCTCTCTCTCTCTCTCTCTCTCTCTCTCTCTCTCTCTCTCTCTCTCTCTCTCTCTCTGTTTAGTTCAATGTTCAGAACAAAGACGAGAATGTGTTAGAATGGCTTGAGATCTTGATTAATATTTACTGAATAGTGCTGTGAATTTGAGTGATCTGGTAGTGTGATTGTAGAGCTAAATTTTCTCGCATCATGTGGATTATAAAGGAGTTAGAGAGAATGGAAGGGAGCCCGAGATGTACACTCTCAGTCGCTTACATTTTATTAATGCTTTATAAGCTTTATAATTATAAGCTATTTTACTAATGCTTTATAATTCTAGTTCTGTAAAGTTAGATCTTTTAATTGAACTGATAATTTGTAATTTGTGTTCGCTTGAAAATGATATATTCAGGCGGTGCCATTGTTATATTTGTGATCTCTCAAAATGACTAGACAATAGAAAATCTTGCCAAACATTATTATCCTAGACATATTTACTACTATGCCAGCACGAATCTGATTCGCCGCAGAAACATTTTTCATGCTAGGGCTGCTCTGCAATCTTAACATCTCATATCATTAATCTACGTTAAACTCAGCACGTGAAATAATGTTCGTTGAAATAACGTTCACCAAGGAGCTACTTGTTATGATCTTACATTTAATTGCTGCATATGTTGCTCTGTCATTCATCAGCATACACAGTGTTTGCTGAGACATGCGATAGTTAAGGAGGTGTCGTTGGTGACTAAAGTGTCGTTAGTTGAGAATTGATCGTTAGTCACAGAAGTTTATTTTCAGCAGATTCAGATGTTACTACACGTGTGGATAAAAGGGATGTTACAGTTAGTGAACGTCAAACAGCCGATGAGCTAATAGTTAGCGTAACACTTCTTGTACACGGCAGCCGAGTCTTTGAACTTATTTATTTTCTTATAATTCTCGATTTTTCCTGCTACACACAGTTAAATTTGACTGACAAATACGTTGACAAAGTACAATCGAGATTCCAAATATCGGATCGTTAAATTAATAATACTGTTTATTCTACTTCTTTGTGTTATTCTTTTCGCTTATGACTGTAAATATGACTTCCAGTCAAAAATACCTGGCAGCAGGAGAAGCATACCTAACAGTTCACATGGTCCAGTCTTACAACATACTATTACTTACTCACACTTTCTCACACTTTCTCATACTTTCTCACACGTTTTCACACTTGATGTCAGGTCTATTGCAGTGAGAATGAAACATTCCTCAATATACTGACGAGCCCCCGTCATTATGCTTACCTTCAACAAAGAGGCATTACTAATTGGCATATTTATGAAATTTATGTTGGTGGCCAGAATTTCTCAGCAATTATAAAAAATATTCGACTTATACGATGCATGTCGAGTAGTCAAGCGACAAGTTAAGTCGGTTATATTAAAAGTTATTGAGGTGTCTGGGTCACTGCTGCTGGTTGTGACACTAGTTGTATAGTTGTGTGTGTCGAATGTGCTGTGAGCAATGTTAATTTAGGTTAATTATACTTAATACACACTTTGCTCTTCCAACAATTTCATACGTTTGTCAGACGTCGAATTTCACTATCGCTTCTTCTGTAATGGACGGTGCGAAACTTGTAGCTTTGTGCATTTGTATGGCAGAAAGCGGATGCTTTCATCAAAACCGCCCTTTTACATGTAATTCTATACTTGTAGAGATTGGCACCCCGTGTGATGTATGGAAACTTTAATTAGCGTAATTACTGTCAATTTTCGAGTAAATTATTTGTACTAGAACCTTGAACACCTAGTGTTTAGCTAAACGAACGTAACGACATAGGTACCATAACTTTTTTTTGAGATTACATATTAATACGCACTATAATTTATGTTTAATTAAAAACAACACCTGTTTCCTACTGCATTGTGTCTTATGTTTAATTGATGCTAATGACCGTACATTTCTGTTGCTAACATTTTGTTGCTAACGTACCTACCATATTTTTGTTATCATACTACGTTATAATGTTATATTTATACAGTAACTATGTCAGTCATTAAGATCCTATTTAATGAGCATAAGATTTATCCATCATGAGTCTTGCGTTGTAATTATCTGCTTTTGACTGAATTTTCCCTCTTGAAACATTTTCATTCGAAAATCATTTAGAGCTGAAGAATGAATAGTTATATCATAACGATTTGTTGATGCCATAATTAAGTTTCTCATTTTCTAGAAATTAAGACAAAAGTTACCACGATGCCTGGGACAAACGGAATTACCAGTACCAACACGACAGCCATCGACTGTAACTCTGGTTCAACTTTTGAGGGACTTAACTTAACGAACATGTGTGACAGATCTACCATTGATACACTTATCATGACTCTGATGTACCTGCTCATCGTTGTAGTGGGTCTTATCAGTAACGGGTCTGTTATCTTGGCATCTATTTTCGAAAGGTACAGCTCCACACCGTTATTTATCATTTAAAACAGCAAAATTAATATTCTAGTCGCAGTGGTAAGATACTGTGGTAATGGTATAGCGATAAAATCCAATATTCTTCGTACTACAAATTAAATTAAAGTCGGTAAAATGATTAAAATCTCATTCGACAATAACATATGATAATGATTTCAGGTGGAAGGAGATTGACCAGTTTACGTTCGTAATGGCTGTGTCCCAGGCTTTCTGCCACTTCTTGTTTGCCTTGTTCGTTTATCCCATGGGAGCTTACAGTATCATACAAGAAAGTCATTGGAATCTTGGGAAAAGCTGGTTTGAATTTTTCCGTTTTTTCTTACTTTTAACTAGCAGAACTTGAAAAGCTTTTACTTAAAAGCTTAAACATTTAAATATGTCACAAGCTGGTAAAATTGACAATATCATGGTGCATTGTGCTTTCTCGTACTGCAGTTAAAATTAACTTCACCACTTGTGACTTGGTCAACGCATGCTCACAGTAAACATTCAGGTGCTGGCAAACTGCTTTACTGAGTAGCTACTTCGAGATAATGTACGTGTTACACATCATGATGCTGGGGGCTGATATTATTATCGGACGTTTCACCAAACTTAAGGTACAGAATTACTGATCCTCTCATAACAAGTTTGTGGTTGGAACTATTTCCTGCTCATAAAACATTGGAAGAAGATTTTGGTCACCCAGTAAAAAATAGACTACACATTCCACAGATCCACACTAAACACTGCACTACTCAGGATAAAGTGTTTGTAGCGCTAAGCAAGAGAGTAGCATTGTCTCTCTGGGTGGTGGCCGCATTTCCTCAGATATACGAGTACTTTAGTAAAGGCCGGAGTGACTCTATATTTGGTTTCGACGATAGTAACCCTAGCAGGCCTTTGTGCTACGCTACCTACGTCTACCCAACTTGGGCGGTGAGGAAATATTTGCCTATTGACTTTTGTATATTTGGGCGGCATTTCAAAGTCATATTTTTTTATATTCGAATAAGTACGTAAATCTCCTGCAATGTGTTTTGTATTAAAAAGTTAAACGTTCTATATTGAATATTTCAGAAATTTTTGGAGTATCTTGGAATCTTCATAGCATTACCAATGGCGTTCAGTGTGATACAGTATATCATTCTACTTAAACAGTCCAACAAACGACATGTAAGTGTTTAACAGTATGGAAAAGTTCAGTTTCAACTTAATAAATATTTTCCAGCCACAGCCGACGTCAAGCTTACCAACTAAAAGTTTCCTTGCGGCAATCCGTAGGAAAATCGACTAACTTTTGAGTTTTTCACATGCAATAATTAGCAAAATTCAGTCGGACGATGTCGGGAAGACTGAAAAGAACCGGTCGTTCTGGATGAACTACAGAACTTCTTTCATCATGATCATACTCTACGCTATCTCACAGTTCCCTAGATGGATCTACATCTTCATTACCATAGCTGGTTAGTTTAGCTTAAAGTTAAATTTGTTTTTTAAGTAAACTTAGATTAATTGCTGAACTTAGTAGAGCTGGACCCTAAATACATCTCGATTAACATTTGATAAACCCAGAGATAGAGACAGATTACAGAATAGCAGATGTGATAGTTGTATGGTCCAGTTTTGGTAGCATTCTCATTCCCTTTGGCTACCTCGTCACGTGTCCAACGTACTTTGGCCAGGTTTGTTTGGATTAACTGGAAGTGAAACTGGTAAAAAATCTTAAACTGGAGGCAGACTAAAACTTTGATCATTGTTTCAATTAAATGTTGTGAAAGTGAAACAAGCTGTTTTCCAGTTTCTTAAAACGGACAACTTTTCAGGTGACTCAATTCACGTGGATGGCATGGTTGAAGAGATTTGAACACATTTTCTACAAGAAGAACACGAAGGACAGAGAATTAATAGCGCCTACTGAAGCAACCAGCGATATATGAGACTTAGTTCAGACTAAGAGACTTCAATCTCCACCTCGATAAAAGCGATATTTGACTCCTCCGCCATAACAAATTCAGCAAGACCACCGTGAGAACAAATTGAGAATAATCATGAAATATGAAGAAAAAGGATATAGCAACAGATCTGCACAATTCAAAGAAAATTGGAGGGGGGTCACGTGGTGTATAGCTGCAGTCAGACTGATTAATAGCAGTGTGTTCTGCAGACATAAAAACACCAGTGACCAGTCTGCTTTCAGAGAGGAGTGTATTACAATGTTCTTTTCTACAGTAAATTAGTTGATACTGCGGGATTTTACATAAGGACTGGGATGCTATTTCTACCTCCTTTAGTGCCATGAGACCCCTTACATTCTTTTGGTTTCGGATGATTCATATCAAAATAGTCAGAGTAGTTGTTCAAGGGCAGTTGACTATACGAGAAGGACGTCACCTGCCCCCTATTTAGAGCAGACGGTTTTGAATTGTATAGATGGCGGACAGTTTTCGTATTAAAATGAGAATGCGCACTAGTAATAACTACCGATCATCTTTCGACATTTTAGTAATTTCGGTAAAAAATCCTCATATACGGTTCTATTGTTTGATAAAATGTCAGTAAACTTTAGAGTTTTTCTTTGTTTCATTGATATCTACAGATAAGATGAACTATTCAAATAATAGAGCGTGATAAAACATGACAAGGAAAGTAGATTGAGGCAGATTTGTATATCGTTTATGTCAAGGCCTTGTACTATTCTAATATCTAAGCCACTAAAAATGACATGATCGAAACAATTTTAAAAGCTGTCCACCATCGCTAGACTCATAATATCATTATATCAAGCTTCCTTTCATAACATAATAGGGAATAACTATAGGGACACCGTACTTCGGAACAGTTTCTAGGGTATTACATACGTCGAAAAGTCAAATGACGAAGATACATAGCTTACGATGGGGTTTCTGATATAACAATTTATTAACAATGAACATGAAGTAGCGTCTGCGGAGTGCGGTCTACATTTGAATACTATACAGCACAATAGGCTGTGCAGTGTGCATCTTGGTTTATTAAATCATTCTACACGCATGAAAATATAAACACGCGTGCGCGGCGTACATGCAAGTGGATAGATATCTATCTCGCAGATACAGAGAAATGTTGTTCGGTTTCTGCGGCGGAGGTACTGTATGCCTGTATGTGGTTCTTAGAACATGGCAACTTGCCAATATTCTGGAAGGAATTTTAAATGTTTTTGCAAACTCCTTGTCTAGTCTGGGAGCAGAGGAGTCCATAAGTATTTTAGCGTGCCAGCAACACATGATTTCTATTTGAACGAGTGATATTTTAACATTATTACCATGCTACTAGCATACGTACGATGCGATTAAAAAACTTAAAAAAATTTAGCTGATAAGCAGAAATACATCGGAACTTCGATTTAATATGACTGGTAATAGCTTCGCAAATACAATAAAATTTCGATTCCACATATGGAAGTTGACTCATACAAAACTGTAACTCTCAAAAATAGTTTATCTGAATTTCAGGTAATAGAAAAAATATATCAAACGAAGATGAATTTCCTAGCAAATCCTATGAACAAAAGATTTGGTTGAGATACAACAAGGCATATAACTGTCCTATAAGAATTAGACCTATAAGAAGCACCTCTGCCAGGTTAGTCCACATATTGAATGGAATTGAGACTGTCACAATCGGATGTAGTAAAGTTAGCTAACACTCCATCATCAAAATTAAACTTCCTCTGAACACCGTCCATTACAATCTTGCCATTCCAACAGAGAGACCGTATGGTAATAGACTCAGCATACCCCTGCACGTTAGCAGCCCTAAACACGCTGTTCTGCAGCGGCTCCCTTGTAATGTATTTCATTCTCCTGTCCTCCGCAGGATATATAAACGAGTCGTTGAACCTGTTGGTAACGTCTGTAATCTCTGTGCTATTTAGCTTTTTATTGGTCAGCCCTGAGTCTCGTAGTATCTTCAGAAACTGTTCCGTTCTGTAGGTATCGAGAGCATTAGCATGGTAGCTCCATGCGGTGGACCCCGACCCGGTAGAGATCAGAAAACCAGACGATTTTTGTTTCTCAGCAGGTAGTTTGTCGATCTGAAGTTCCAAATAGCTTAGTCGCGTGGGACTGGTTTCCCCGACATACACATCGTTTAGTGCGTATTTAGGTATTTGAACATCGCCAACAGTACAAGCATATGACATTTTAACTCTGATGCGGCTTCTCTTAATAAACACACATTCACCTTCAGCAATCTGCTGAATAATATACTTCAAGTTTGTCTTTTTAGACCTGCTTCTCGCACACAAATGTCCGACTGACCTTTCAGGGTCAGTTTTAAGACCGATCAGCCCATTTCCCTCCCTCCAGCTGACTCGCTACATTTAGAAAAGTACCATCCCCACCAGCTGATATAAACACATCCGCCCATTCAACATGCTCCCGGTTTATCGTGTCAACCAGGGCTACCTCGTCAAAATGTCTCCTTAACTCTGTCAGGATTATGGACAAGTTGGATTCGTGAACATCGTGGCGCCGCTTTATCGCAATCAAATCATCATGTCGACCAGCAGTTTCAAGGTTCTCTACATAGCAAGGGTGTCGCAATGTTTCTCGTACTAGTCGGGTTCGCTTTTGTACGACTAGAACTTTGCGTGGAGAGAATTTGAGCTTCTGTGCTAGCTTGATACCATGTGTTACCATGTTCACATCTTTCTGGGGAGACATTTTTAGTTTAAACTAGAAAGGTTAGGTCAAGCCATATAAATCTACATAGGTTTTTAGAAATAGCTATAAACTACCAAGATAAAGATACAAAGAAGCAGCTTTGAGTAATGTTAGGATTTTGACAACCAGTGATCCCATAAAAGACTTGATGATGGTACGCGTGACTAACTTGTACAGTAATTGTTTTACTAATAAAATAAGAGAAATGCATTATATTTATGTCACAATAAAATAACATAATGAGTACAGACAATAGAATACAATGAAATACAATATCTCGCAAATAACCTACTGGATCTGATAATCTAAACAATCTAGCGACTGCTAAAATTAAAAACAGGAATCGTCGCAATATTTCATCGCTAAGTAAATACTTCCACAACAAATTAGCCCATAAATTTCCAAATTCATGTTTGTGCATGACAGACAGACGTTTTTCCAGAGATCAAAAACGGATCCGGAGGCAATAGAAAGTAAATGCAAAGTTTGACAAGCACAGAGATTTCACACCTCGCGACTTGGGAGCCAAAAGATGCCACAAACATGCCCGACACATTTCCAGAAACATATGGTAGAAGACGGGTAAAAAGGTAAAATAAATTTAACAAAGACCTGCGAAGACAATGTCTCGAATATGTGCGTGATATATTGGCAAGGAGTTGTATAATTGGGGGCAATAATTAGTCGACTAGAGCTCAATTAAGATAACTGCTCAGCAAACTAGGCCACCCCATATCTTTATACTACATCACAGCGGAAGTATGATAATATGTACTAAATGTACAGTGTAGAGTGTATAATGTATAATGTGCACCATCTCACCAAACTACCTAACCTTGCAGCTCTATTCAACATACAATATCCGAGTAAAAATTGAGCACTTCTAACCCCTCCATGGACAGAGACGTGATCAGTGATCTTAAAAACATGTTTTAAATCGACACACCTTGTGAGTAATATGAGCCCAAAATAGTAGGATTGTTTAAAGATTATTTAAAATTGTCTCACACCTAATCTGTTCAATAAGAACTTCTTGGCTCCGTCGCAAAAAAGTTATCTAATTCTGGATCAAATAATAATAAGTTGGATGAGGAACCATTCGGTCCTCATCAAGGTTGGTGGTACGTTATTTAAACCAGGGATCAGGGCTAATACAGTAATATGAACGAATGCAGAAGAAGAAAAAGTAGAGCTGGGGCACAACATAAGATAATGTCAATAGCACTGAAAAGTGGAACCAAGAATCAGATAATGTAGTTATGGCAAATACAAGGGAGGAACTAAGGGTAGGGAAACTGTGTCACTTGAAGACAGACTAAGTGTGAAGTGAAGCAAGTTGCCGATATGTCAATATGCATATTATATATACAAAATATGTTCTTGGATAGGTCACAGTAATTTTTGAACAACTCAAGCCAAGGAAAATATAAAGTTATTATGTATGTGTTTACCGTGATTAACTACTCTACGTGATTAACTACTGTACGTGATTAACTACTGTTTTCTGCACACGTACAAAAGTGGGTGGCCCAAAATTAATTGCCCACACGCACACCAAAATTTCAGAGAATATACATATGGATCAAACTTAAATTTCCTGAAAGTTTCGTAAAATTTCATTGATTAAAGAGGGTGTGGCACGCCACTCCCTCATTTTCACTATGTCCACCATAAAGTGAAACGCTTCAGCTAGTAACTCCAAAAGTTTCTAGACAGATTTGGTTTGATAATGAAGTGCTTTCCCGAAATTTCAAGTTGATTGCTTACAACTAAGCCAAGTTACGACCATTTTAAGATCTTGCAGATACGTTATCGCGCATATAATCAGTGATATATTCACTCAATAAATGGCCTGATTGGTTGGAGACTGCTTATAGGACAGCAAACCGACGCACTGTTACCGAATTTCTTGATTGGGGTTTGATTTTAAGATAGTCACTATCAGTATTCCCTCAATGATCAGATCGTTCATCCCCCAACATGCTCGGTACCGCCTAATGAGGCCCATTATTGCATACGCTAGCGAATAGCTCCAGAAGAGATTAAACTGATTGGGTGACGAAATCACTGATTAAAGTGCCGAGACATGTATCTGAAATATCTTAAAAGGGTCATAACTTGGCTTAGTTGTAAACAATCAACTTGAAATTTCGGGAAAGCACTTAAATTATCAAACCACATTTGTCTAGAAACTTTGGAGTTCCTAGCTGAAAGCGTTCGCACTTTTATGGTGACAATAGTGAAAATTGAAGAGTGGCGCACACACCCTCTTTGATCAATGAAATTTTACGAAACTTTCAGGAAATTTAAGTTTGACCCATATATATTATCTATATTCTCTGGAATTTCTGTGCAATTCTGACACGAATTACGTGAGTTATTTAAAGGATTGAGTGTGTGCAGTTACTTTTGGGCTACCCCGTATTTCACAAAAATCCCAAATCTCTCGGTCAACCCTACTTCTCCCAAAAAACCACCATCAGAGTTTACTCAGCTCCTAAAGTACATCTGCTGCAACAGTTAGAATGTACATCATATCACGCAGTTTGCTGGACTGTGAAAACTCCAAACTCAAAACGACAATCCCCATCAATGAGTAGCTTCGCTATCCTTCTGAATTCTGAACTTGAGGAAAACTTGAGGGTAACTCTGGTATCAACACAATTTAAGAAGCAATAACTCATTTATGTTATTTTCAATGTTCATCATGGGTTCTTCTTTTTATCCTGAGCACATTTCGGACAAAACCACTTGCCTTTGGGTTTTGCAGTCAAGTTGACACACCTAAAATGGAACCACTCAATTGACAATCATTGTTATCACACCCAATCATCTCCCCGTATGATATCTCGTTACAAGAACAGTATCTCGGCTCATCAGGATCCGGAGGGTCTATGTCCAGTAAACTCGGAGAACTTTTCCTGTCTCTCCTTTTCCTAGTTTTCCTCTTTGCTCCAAAGCTTCCTCTGCTATTGTTCATTATGACATCCAATTCATCGTCCTTGTTATCACGTGGCATGGATTTCCTCCCTCGACCTCTGGATGCAGTGCTGGATCGCTTGCCCGGTTTTTTGTTGCTAGTGCTGTCGTACTCTTCATCAAGCTCTGCATCTTCGTGATTAGAATCATCTGGGAGATCCTCATGAGAGCAGATAGGAGAAGGTGCGTCCATGTCTACTAGAGTTTTTAGCGCCATTGACCGACTGTGTTCCTCTTCCATCGTGCTGACAGATTTATCCAATATTGAGGCGATGTGCTGAATATTCTGACTTTTCATTTCCTCCAACACAAGAATCCGATGCAACTTTCTCTTAGCCTGCTGTAAATCTTCCCTCAACTCTGGTTTTGAATGTAGGGAACTCTTCATTATACTCTTAATATGATCAATCTCCTGAGAAAGTCTTGCGCATTTTGACGTCAATCTCCATAATCTTAGACAACTCCCGGCTGATAGCGGGAGGCATACCCTGAATCATGGAGGTATAACTTGAAACACACTGTGGAACAGTTTGTCTCTCACCCTCTTCTCCATCGTTGGAGTAGTCTGACTCGGAGCTCAGGTAGTTCTCAGAGGAGGTCTCGTACATTCTGACCGAGAATGTGAAGTTAGATTACCATGGAGTTTAACTGTGTGAATTTGTCTACAAATTTAAACTTCTCAGCTTTTTCAAGTTGTCAGTTTAATATTTTTTCAGCCATCTTGTTAGAAAACTGAAATTTTTGGAAGAAATGGAGAGTGGCGATGACGCACCTAGAATTAGTATGACATGTTGACAAAGTATAGACTTGAAATACAATTGAAGCGTTATTTTGAGCATTCATTTTCTGTTTTGAGTTACACTGAGAGCTACAGAACCAAATATGTTTCATATTTATAAATTATTATTTGATTTCTACTATTAAGCAATGAATAATTTATTATAAGTATATATATACTTTATATATATATATATATAAATCAATTTTTTGTAAAAAACATACATAAGTCTGAGTCGCAGCAAGTAATTATCAATAAAGGTAAAGCATATAGATATTTTTCATCAGATCTAAAACGAAAACAATTAATCTTAATCAAAAACTAAAAATCATTTCTATGAGTCAACAGTTTCAAACACATAAAAAGCAATATAAATTTGTCACAGGTCAATAAGGTATAATCATAATATTAACATCATGATATCAAAAGGTCTCCCAACATCGGTCACAACATTTCTTCACGTATGTCCTCACTCATCATTCTTTCTCAGAACGAGGCACCCGTCTCCAATGGGCAGAAGTAAGCTTGTTACACGGTTGTCGACAGCTCCTTTCTCATTTGTTTCGTGTATGTAACAGTTCGGCACCTGGGACATTTGTCAAGAATTCAGTGAGATGTTGCAGAGTGCAAAGGTCACCAAATTCTTGATCACCATTCTATGAAATTTGGTACTGATTCATAAAAACGTTAAGAATTTTCAAACAATTCAAACTCAAACCGATGTTAGATCAGTAAGGACTTTGTTGCCGTACAAAGAGTTGTCGAACACTATAATGCCGCCAGGTCGCAGAAGTTCTAGACACAACTTGTAATAGTTCGGGTAATTGCCCTGAACATAATTGTAGATTATTTAACAGGTTAAATGGTTTTTATCATGTATTTTGATTTTGTAGCATTTACAGCATTTTTTTGGATCAAGTTGAACTTTAAACTGTGATGTAACTGCTCTTGTTTACCTTGTCAGCATCAATAAAACAAAGATCTATTTTTCCAGTGTAGCCTTCTTCCTTGAGCTGTACGAGAGAGTCTAGAGCTGGTGCTATCCTGTAATCAATCTGAGAATAGGAACAGTGAGACTGAGAAAGTAAAACTTACGTTGAAAAATTGTTTTGACGGATGTATGATACTCTTATTAAAATATTAATGCTCTTTAATAACTGTGCACTTATTCATTGATACAGCAAATTATTAGCAAACCTTTGATAGTACTCCTGCCTTCTCCATAATTGGTTTTCCAACTTTAACATAATCATCCTGAACATCAAGAGCAAATGCTTTCCCGTCAGCAGGAAGTTCTTGGACCATTCTCAGCAGTGCTACTCCTGCAATTGTACTTCCATGACTCCTATCGCCTTCACTCTGCTTTTGAAAATTTCTGGAATATATGGCAAAACTTCGTCTTAAATTATCCAATGTGCTCACACACAGTGACCATTGCATAATAATTAAGAAAAGGTTCCTAAAAAGTAATTACTGTACCTGTAAAAGATCCAACTTCGATGATGTTCTTTGCTTTCACCATCCTGGTTATGAACGTCAGAAACTGACCAACATCTGGAGTGGATTCCATAACACCTCTCTCGTGTTGCGCCGTCAACTCACGCAACTCTTGCAACTCACTGGACTCTGCTATGTTGGAGTGACTGACGCAATACTGCTTTCTGGCATCACCGCTTGACCATTTGGGATGTTCGCTCCGAGTTGCGAAATCTATAACATCACCTTTCTTTAGTGATGATATCGCCAAGAGACCAGATGCACCCAGTACAGCACCTGCAAAATAGATTTAATAATTAATGATGGAGGCGAAGTTGTAGTATGTAGATAGATCCGTCTGAAAAAAATCAATTTACCGACAAAACGAGCAACAGTAGTTTTTAGACAAACTTTTGGCAGGAAGTTTGGCAGAATCATTATTGTTGTTTGATAACATTTGATTTATTGTGGAATGTGGACACTATGATGGGTAAATATGCAGCAGTTAATATATTCTGTTAATTTCGACGACCTGTAATAATAAATAATACTAAATAAATTCTAACATTTATTACACGATTCGACATTAAAATATACCCAACTAAAGATTAACATATATAAATCATGCAAGCGAGACTAATCACTTAGAGTGGTTGAAATATCAAGATTATGGACTTCTATCAGTTCAGATTAGAGAGGTAAGGAAGAGCCTATTGTTATTTCATTAACATTGCCTGCATAGAACAAATACCCGTATTCTGAACAGAGAACACTATGTGATTAAGAGTATCACATACAAACTTTTGATTATGGAATTTAATAAAAAGTTTTTATGTGATCTAAGCCTCTTAATACTCCTACAGCAGAGTGCTAATCCTGCACAATTATATCTTGAAACCTGACCGACTACATGCAATACCAATGAAACACTAATTATTGAATTACCATTGTGTTCAGTGTAATTAATTAGAGAACGCTAATTAGTCGCTTGTTTATCTCTGAGCCCTATATGATGGACTGTGCAAAAGTTCAGTTTCTTTCCCTCCAGATCGGGTCTATAATAGATAGTTTAAATATTCATTTCTTAAACTTTAATTCTAAAGCTGCTTCAACGACGTGATCCCCCATATTATTTGTGAGTAATTTTTTCAATTTATCATACTAATTTGATAAGTGCAGCATGAATTTTGTTTACGGTTGGATTTTTAAAACGGAAATCTATCTGAGATAGTGAGATTGAGAGTATCACATACGAATATTCCATAACATTCCATAATACAAAAGTTCGTATGTGATCTCTTGATACTCCTTCGTCAGAATGTGGATATCTTGCAACATTGCTCTGCACTTCTGCAAGCAATATCAATGAAATAAGAAATATTCATATTGGTAAATTACCTGCTCTTCTTTTTTCCTTTTTCATTATATTACAGTCGTCAAAATTAACGGAATATTACTTACTGCCACATATCTATGAAAGATATTTTCAGACGGATCTGTCTACTTACTATTGTTTCATTTTACCCTTAATCGGTCTTTGTTTTGGTTTTCCTCTCAAATAATGTTTGAGAAAATATACCAGGTACCTCTACGGTACTGTAAATCTTGTGAGTTACTTCCCTTACTAACCTGCTCCAACGGCGACCAGAAGCTTGGAGTCAATGTTTGTGAGAAAATCTTGAATATTCATCTGCTAAAATATTAAATTGATAAATAACAATTCAGTACTGTTGTCAACAATGAAACATTAAAAATCGTTACACATTTTTAGTAATCTTGAGATGACCAGCAATAAAGTCTACAATTGCAGCCAAACCAAAAATGATACCTGTAGCAGCTGTGGTATTAACATTTGCAGCCCCCCCCCCCCCCCCCCCCCCCCGAAAAAAATTGTGTTTTATGACTGCATTCTGGTACTACTGACAGTAGTCCTACCTGTTTAAAACGGCAGGCAATTGACTTCAGCATTTCGTAAATTATTCCCAAATCCCACTATACATATACTTATCCATTCAATGTGGCAAATACTGAGTTGAATGAGAGGACTGTAAAGACATATGGCATTTGCTTAGAGCTTTTAATTTCCAGCGAAAAATTAAATTTGTATTTCTTAAATCATCCTTTTCCCCTAGACCGTAGGAAATGTCAAAATCTTGAGGCCTGATCAAGTCGTAAATTCCTGATTTGGAGAATGCAGATTTGCTGTGGGAAGTTACCAAATTTACGTGAGTAACCTACTTGATTCTTTTCAGTCCCAGTTTATATAGCGTCGATACAAATTTCTTTAATGCCAAATGTCGTCTAAAACACCCTATTTCTCAAAATTTCCGGGGGGCTGCGCCCCCTAGCCTCCCGCAAAGGGGCTCCCCCCTAGCCTGGAACCCACTGGGGGGCAAAATGAGTTGGTTTTCGACAAAAAATACCATATTTTTGGTCCCAAATCATTTAGGTCACCAGAATTTCATACCTTTTAAATATGTCTCGTAAGGTTGTTAACATTCCAACAACAAGAATTGCGACCATGTTCTTGCCATTAGGCGGACACTAGATTTCCATCCACTACCTCTGCTGTGAAAGTTAGAGTTATAGATACCTTAGCAGTATTTATTTCGTTTGGAATAGCCTTGCAGGGACATTGGACAACCCATATTTACACTCACAACTGAGTTGGTTCATTCATTTCCTGATAGAAGATTGAGGAAGGGTCAGAAACACAGGAAATTTGGCTCCTAAGCTAATTTAACTTGAATAGCAGGTGGGTGCAGCTGTATACCCACAGTTCCACACTAGAATCTTAACACCTACTAGTTGATGCAGGGTGCCTGTTGAGAACTTGGACGATTTTTCCACTATTTCATGTCAAATTCGTGTCACAGAGACTAGGTGGACTAGTTGTTAGACCTTTCACCTTTTGCACAGTAGGTTCAGGGTTCGAGCCTCAGGGTCATACTAAATAGTCTAGGGAGTAGCTAAAAATCCATTAGAGCCATGTGAAATTACACATCTGTGTAATGTCTCCTTGGTTGACTCAGCTGAATAGAATGATTGGAACAGTGATCGAGGGTTAAATAAGGAGGGGCCCATCACTATACTATGCTTACGTTATGCTATACTTTGTATGTAAGTTTCTTGTTTGTTTTTTTTTTGTTTTTTTATTAATTTCTAGTCTTTCATACCTTGCCTGTTCAGTGTTCAAAAACTTGAAAATTTGTTTGATTACAGAGGATACAAAATAAGCATTTCAAAGATCAAAATAGCAACAGTTAAACATTTAAGGGCACGAAATTTTGTGTATAAAAGCTAAAATTACTGACTAGGCGAAAGATTTTAAAAAAAGTAAAGTTAAAAATATGACATAACATCAGCACACTGTCTACAAAGTATCAAATCACTATATGGAAAAATATAAATATCTTACAACCAAAATTAATAAATTATTTTTTTTTTGCTTAAAAGTGTCAAACAGTATATATACACATAAAAGTAATTCAAGTTGTTGCAATTGGCAGAGCACAATACAGAGGTAACGGAAATTGTCCACTGCTTACCATATTATATAATATTAAATATCCACAATCAAGATATATTACACCATCGTACTTCCATCATAGGGGCAGGGATGAGGTTTATAAAGAGACTTCTGATGTGGTGTCTCATATTTGCTTGTCCATTTTTTTTCTCCTCTGTACCCTCGAAAGCTATAATGTGGTTCTTAACATAGCGACTCTTAATAAATTTATTAACTACAACTTTATTAAGAGACATATTGCAAATAAATTCAAAAAGCATCCCCAAAAGAATAACCCCTATTCATACTTCCCAGTGGAATAAAAGATTTACAAATCGAAAATCGCTTTTGCCCACAAAAGGGTGGAAATAAAGATAATCATTATGCTTATGTAATAAAGATATGTAAATATTTGCTTTGAACTGGTCTTTAATCTTAATTCTGCTTAAGTATTCTGCATGTCTTCTGTCTGTATGGTAATGCATGAATAATCCATGCAAAGCCAAATGATGCAAATTATGATTAATATAATAATACATGATACAATATAATACAAACAATGACTGATTATAAATTGCAAACAAAGACATTTTTACTAGGAACAATAACCGAATTAAGCTATCATACATAGTCATCACAAATCAGTATTTGTATACACATAATATCACAATGACCCTATATACAAATTCAATAAACATCTGAGTAAATTCATAAAAACCCCAAGTAGTAAAAGTAGCCAATTCAATGTTCTGGCTCTAAATTTATATCTAAGTGTTATTTTTACTGCACTACTACTTTTCAACCCTTTTTCTCCTCTACTAAGATCAATGTCTGTTTGCTGTTATTCTCCTGAAAGCTCAAATGAAATCGACCCGGAAGTTCTCACCAGCTTGGCGAACTCTAAAAACAGTTCTAACAACAGCACGGACAAAAGTGTGAAAAAAGAGCTGTTAGCTCTATTCAGATATTACAGCCTAAGTCTCAACAAACTGTTCTGAAAATCTCAGAAGTTCAGAACTGAACCAAAGAATTGCCCAGCAGGTACACGAAACATTGATGCAGATCGGTGGAGAGAGAAAGAAAGCAGAAAATGTCTGTCCATCCTGAAGGTACCGGAAAGCACCAAAAACAAGTGTCAAAGATCGTGAAAAAGAAGACATCGACTTGCATCACGCACATTGAGATGAAAAGGGAGACATTGTGCCTGCTTTAGAGCTGGCAGAGTCATAAAGACCATACCAGAAGTACTGCAGGCCCCCTTATGTCAAAACTCTATGACATAGAAGACGTAAAGACTACACGAATGGAGGGAGAGGAATCCGGTCAAAGAGTGGTCATTGATAACGAAATTTGTGCCAGAGCTGACCGTAAGGCAAATTTTTTCAAGCACGGGAGGAAGCAGAGAAGAGGAAAAAAGGCAGAATAACACAGAGAAGAGTCAAGAAGATCGAAGAGAAGGAAGCTACAGTTGCAGAAGGAATAACATATTGTATACTAATGCTAGTGGATTCTTTAACAAAATAGATGAAGTAAATGTATATTGCGCTAAACAAGAACATTGATATTATATGTGTCACAGAGACCCATTTTTTGATAATATAAATTTTTGAGATGCTGAAGTTCATATTGACGTTACACAATTTGAGAAAAGACCGTACTTTAAAATTGAATCTTCTAAAAAGGATATAGTTCTGAGGAGGATCCATCATTTTATGTTAAAATTATATAATTCATCATTAGTAAAAAGAAAGTTGTAAGGCACTTGATTCTTTAGCTGTGGTTAATAGATACTGCAAGTGGTACACTTTGTATTGGATTATTTATAGATTCACCATCTTTAAATTCGACCAAAATTTAGAATTAATTTCTTTTCTTAAAAATATTTGTAATGTTAATAATGATTTGAAACACCCTGGTAGGAGACTTTAATTTACAGATTCCTCTTGGAGAACTGGTTGTGTAAAATGGAAGGTTTGGTCAGCACTAATAAGTCATTCCTTGAATCAAGAAATCTATATTGTATGTTTTAACGAGCAGGGTTGTCCTGTATTTAACTACTGAATAACTAGCTGCGGTTGTAAAGGATAGACTCCAAGCGGAATCCTGCTGGATCAAGTACTTTTCCACCAATGAGCACTTATTATAAATGCACAGTGCTGTCCCCGATTGGCAAAAGTGATCATGTCAGGGTGGTAGTCGATCTAAGTGTTTCTGTAGATTCAATTAAATTAAAGAGAAGATTCTGAAACCATCATGGGGTAAAATAACTAATGATGAATTTTAAATTTAGTATTAAAATCTTAACTGGATTTTAGTTGCTCTAATGATGTCAGCATATGTGGGATGAGTTTACATGCAAACTTACACTGTTTGCTGGGATAGGAACCGCCTAATTTTCGGTCTATAAAGAACAACAGAACCTGTGAAGCTGCCATAGGGACACATCCTCATTGAAGCGCAGGAGGAAGAACAAAGATTAAGCATGGACTGGCATTTGATATTTGAACCTTCTAGTGTTATTCTTAGTCATGCAAGTAGTAAACAGCTCATCCTATGAGAATGAGGAAGTGTAAGCAATGATAAGATATGAGAAAAGAAGAAACTCTAATTAAAGACCAATTGTAAATCATTTATTCTTATTTTTGATAAATTAAGAGGAACGGTAAAGAAAGCGTCGGTACCAGAGTTGAGATAAGGAAGACGGAACAAGGACAACTAGTGCAGGGGAGTCTCAAGGTTACTTGCAAGTGCCTCAAGTCTGTGATTGTTAATGAGCCACTCGGCCCATTAAACCTAGAAGGTTATATGTAAGAATACTAATAGTATATCGGATATTGTTATTACCTTTGATAATGGAGTTAAAAGGAACTATTAAAGCTTAAAATTTTTAAAAGCACTGCCCAGATGGCACATCCCTAAAGCTGCTTGAAGTCCCTAGCTGGAGATGCTAGTTTTTGTAACAGTTCTTTCCTAAATATTTAGTGCCTGTAGTGATACGTGGAAGATCGTCCGGAGGTATGGAAAGATCGGCATCTTAGTTGCAACTTTTTAAAAAGGCTCTACGTCTGACCCTCTTAACTAAGACCTGTTTCGTCTAACTTGTATTCATTTGTAAAGTGCTCTGAACAGTTATTGTTAGATCCCATGTGTTTAGAAGTTTAGAAGACCGTATTTCAAAGGACCAACATGGGTTTTGGTTAAAGAAAAATCTTGTTTGTCAATCTTTTGAGACTTTCGACACTAGACTTAAATTTAATAGATGAAGGTGTCCTGTGGACCTATTTATTTGATTTTAGTAAAGCTATTCGATTCTGTTCCCCATTATCGCCTGATTAACAAGCTAGAGAGTCCTAGGATAACTGTTAAGTTTTAGATGTAATACAGATTTTATCTAGAAATATGAGAGTGTGTGTAGAAGGTGAAACTTCAGAGTGGAAGATTGTATGGTCAGGAGTTCCACAGGGATCAGTCCTTGGACCATTACTATTTGTGTTATTTATTAATGATTTACCAGATAACATTAAAAGTAAAGTTAAAATATTTGCTGACGATCTTAAGCTTATAGCTAATGCCTCCGAGCATGAAACTATAGCTAATGATCTGAACGAACTAGAGATGTGGGAGAGTAAATGGCTTTTAAAGTTTAATCCTACTAAGTGTTCAGTAATGCATTTAGATGTTAACGATAATCCAAGATCAAGTCATTCTCTTAATGGAGTTACATTGGCAAGAAAACAACAATTTCAAGAAAACAACAATTTTATTTAGTATCAATTAAAGCAGACAAAAATATATTTCATATATATAACTAGCACGAACTTTAGATCAGATATCTTAGGGGACATGGAGTAGCAAGAGATTGACTAAAAGATATATAACTTTTACAAAGATACGTCGAGAAGAATCCAGGGTGATACAGGATCGGAGAGTGCAGACCAAAAGTTTACGCACCCACCTTTGCCTCCTGAGTTCTTGGTTGGGTAGAAATTTATGCAAACTTGGTCGTTTATACTCCAAGTCCCTTTCTTAAAAGAAGTAGTATTAACTATGTCTAGAGTTAGCTTCGTTCAATAATAACAATATCAATATAATCAATATCAATACCAGATAAACCTACCGAATAAATTATTAAATATCAATTAATTCATTCCGATAAAAAATTTTATAAATTTAGATATTTAACTTATCTAAAAACATTACAACAAATGTTTAAAAAGCGCCCAAAATCGATTTGAAAGATTTTCTGTCTATAGTACAATCATGATAGTAATAGTAAGTGTGTGCCGCTGCAATTAGATTTGATTACTGCAATTTAAAATTGTTTGGAGTCCAAGTATCTTTTAAGTCAGCTGCCTGTGCTTGTATTAATAGTGCTTTGGTTCTCAGTTTTATCAAGCTAATGGACGTTTCTAAGCAATTGCTTGAAGTTAAAATTTTTTTATGAACAGCGTTCCAAAGCTTGGCTGCATTAAACAAAAAGGTATTTGATTTATTTAGGAGAATAACCATTAGACTCGTTGCACGGTTTGAAATGTTGATAGCCTCATAAAGGGAGTATGGGCAGTGGTACTTGATAATCTTAGAGAATTCTAAAATACAGTGATATTTGTACAAGTTTTGAGCTGTAAGAATTTTTAATCTATTAAAAATGGGTTTTGTATGCTCCTTTTCAAAGTGTTTATGGTCTAGTTTTTGCATACCGTATGGTCTAGTACGTGCACATGTTGATTGTTTATCTAAATATGAGTCAAGGTCGCCAAAAAGGATCCTTATACAGTGCTTCTGTGTGATGAAAAGACTATCATTGGACCGTTCTTTGAGGACAACACCCCAAACACTTATACCATAACTGAGATGTGATTCAAAAAGAGCATTATATATTTTCAAATATAGTTCAGAAGGTATCGAGTGCCGAATTCTGCAGATTGCACCAGTCATAGATCGCAGTTTTTTACGGATGTAGTGCATGTGGGCAATCCAGTTTAGCTTACTATCTATAACAACACCTAAGAATTTGGTATCCTTGACTTTAGTAATAACCTTACCATTGATGAATATTGATCTAGATTCATCTAGCAGGATAGCAAATGGTCTGGTCCGTGCACAGGTGTCATCATATTCAGAGGCAGGTTTAAAATGTATGTAGCAGCATTTGGCAGAATCTGTACAGGAAAAAGACTTGGGAGTTATAACCCATAACTCTCTGCTTTGGAATGAACAGATTAAGGCTTCAATATCTAAAGCCAACAGAATGATATGTTGGATTGTTAGAAATCTGATTATCAGGGAAAAATCTGTGATGATATCTATTTACAAAGCTTTAATAAGACCCCATTTAGAGTATTGTGTTCAATTGTGGAGTCCAGTTGCGGCTCATGGAAGTTGGGGGATCATCTTGGAGCTGGAGAGCGTCCAGAGGCGGTTTACCCGTCTGATTGACGAGGTGGGTACTCTTCCATACAGTCGTCGACTGGAAATCCTCAATTTGACAACGCTGGCAGAGCGGCGAATACGTGGGGACCTCATTGAATCTTTTAAAATGATAAGTGGTTTGGCCAATTACGGAGCTGGTTTGTTCAGTATGAGCAGATCTGGTCTTAATTTGGTATCAAACAGTAGATGCAGTAAAAGTAGCAGTAAAATGAAGAAAGTCCACAGTTCTTTTCTTCCGGAGAGGGTGAGACCATATTGGAACAAACTCCCCTCGGATGTCAAGAATTGTGGGACTGTGTTAAGTTTTAAAATAAGATTAGAGGCTTTCAAAAAAGAGACTATTTTAAACGGATCCGTAAATGATATTCATTTTTGGTATGTTTCGGACGAGGTATTAGGAAAGATTGAGGGATTAAATTATGCTACTAATAAAGAGACGCACAATGAATATCTTGTGTGTCATCCTCATGTTGTTCACATAGCCATGTGCCTACGCGTACTGCGTGACGCGCTTGTTTCACAAGTAGGATAGGCACATACAGATCAGCACACATAAGATGGTACGTGTGCGCGCGCGCAGTGCTGACAATTGTGTCGTATTTTACCCCGGGTGCACGTACATCGTGTGCGATTATTTATACTTATCGAAGGCTATAAATGCCTCTTGTTTATTTTAATTTGGTATTGTTCACTTTTAGACGATAAAATACAGGAATTGCGGTATAATAATACGAATAATTAAGATTGTACGATCAAAATACATCACGAAACAGTATCAACTACCTCGCTACTTATCAACTTATACTATGTACTATGCGACAAAGATACACAATGCAATATTTATATACTTATAGAATAAACGAAACACAGTATTCAGTATTTACTAGTACTACCCCGCTACTACTACTAGTAGTAGTACTACAACTTAATGCGACAAAGGTCAAAGATATTGTATAAAATATAACTAAATAAACAATACGGTGCCCATGCCTGAGCTTTATAAAACTGGAAACACTTCTCAGATTAATTATTTTGCTTCTCAAAAACAATTACAAACTAACAATTTTCGACGTTAAACAGCTACATTAAACATTAACATTACACTTCACAATCCGAAAGAAAGGGGCTCGTCGCTGCAGGCCTGACTTTGACTTGATCCTGAAAAAGTACATGTCATTTAGGTACCGCGACAATTGTGAATTGACCCCCCGACAATTGACCCCCTATGTAATTACACTGGGGTCAATTGTCGCGAAATCTAGCCCGGTTTAGTACGACAATTGGCCCCCCGAAAATTGACCCACCGACAATTGACCCCCTACCTATGTAATTAAACTAGGGTCAATTGTCGCGAAATCTAGGACTTAGTACGACAATTGACCCCCATGTAATTACACTGGGTCAATTGATCGGGTTAGGGTCAGGGTCAGGGTCAGAGTCAGTGGTCAGGGTCAGGGTCCTGGATCAGGGTCAGGGTCAGGGTCAGGGTCAGGGTCAGGGTCAGGGTCAGGGTCAGGGTCAGGCCTAGGGTTAGGGTTAGGGTTAGGGTTAGGGTTAGGGTCAGGGTCAGGGTCAGGGTCAGGGTCAGGGTCAGGGTCAGGGTCAGGGTCAGGGTCAGGGTCAGGGTCCTGGATCAGGGTCAGGGTCAGGGTCAGGGTCAGGGTCAGGGTCAGGGTCAGGGTCAGGGTCAGGGTTAATTGTATTAAATTATATTGTCGGGGGGTTAATTGTCGGGGGGTAAATTGTCGCCCACCCGTCATTTAATGTAATTACATAATACAATATAATACATAATACAATGTAAATGTTGCTGTTACAAAATGTATAGCTAACATAAGCGAGCGTTCATGTATGACGTCAGCAGCCGAGGGAAAAGGGTATTTGGAAATGCTGACGGTTGCTGACAGGAGGGGGAGGTATGAGCCTTGTTAACGTCAACAAAAATACGTGAATTCAAATCAATTTTATTAGCAATAAAACGTCACTAATTTCCTTAAAATTAGTACTCGAACTGAACTCTGGTGACCAACTGCTTAAATCAGTCACACACTAATTTTCCCTGCCTCATGCCTACTACTGGAAACTGTATCTCCAGACAAGTGTCAGACGTTACTATGCATTGGTTGCTCTTCAAAAAGGTTAGCAAAAAGATAAAGAGTGCGACCCTGATAAACTTTTGGGAGAGATTCATCGACGACATATTTGGAGTGTGGATGGGGACAGCGGGACAATTTACAATGTTTGTCGAATTGTTGAACAAACTGGCTAAATCAAACTGGCAGAACCATATAGAATCAAGGTTAACTTTTTAGACCTTACCTTGAGCTTGGACTCAGAAAATCAGATCTGGTACAAGCTATTTAGAAAGGAAACAGATGCTAGGAACTACTTGAGATCAGATACATATGTAGTTTCCAACCCCACCATGTGTAGAGGACCTGGGCGAACTAAAGGAGGATCTTGCCAGATGCGGACACAACAACAACGGTGACAAACTAGAAGAAATCGAGCCGAAAGCAATACAGAGGTCTATTGAGAACCCAGGAAATCCAACCAGAGACACTGAGGATAAGACACAACAGAGCCTCGTATTTTCCGTACAACACTCTTGATAACATTAGTCTTACAAAGTTGGTTAAGAACTTAATCTGGTCATTAAGCTACTAGGTTAATGTTATGTGGGGATGTACGGATAGTATCTGCCACTAGGAAACACCCTTCAATCGGTAATACACTAGAAAAGAATCGACTACTGGGACAACTGGAAACCCTTGATGTAGGACAATTACAGAGGTGTAATGGACCTAGCTGCAAAATTTGCCCCGTCCTCTTTGACAAGGACTCAAAAGATCATGGGGGGGGGGGGGGGGGGGGGGGGGCCAATGACTACCAATGGAGACTTTTGGGGACTAATGGGGACTAAAAATCATGGGGACTAGAGGTCAACTCGTTGACGTAATTCACCATTTGTCCCCATAAGTCCCCAGAATTTTTGACAGTTATTTATGGTTTTCAAGTTAGTTTAATAACGATACGATCGAGATGTTTTGTCCAAGATAAGAGTAGGATAAATCTAAATGGGGACTAATGGAGACTTTTGGGGACTAAAAATCATCTAAATGGGGACTAATGGAGACTTTTGGGGACTAAAAATCATGGGGACTCGGGGTAAAATCGTTGACGTAAGCCCCCCCCCCCCCCCCCCCCCCCGATCATGGTCAACAACATAGAACTGGTGCTAGACGGAACTCTAAAATGCAAGGACAAGCATGTTATCTACCTTATTGGTCATAATTATCACGGACATTACTTTCACACTGAAGACCTCAGCGTGAATAATTATGTCCGTGAAAATAATGTCTGTGGTATTAAGGTCCGTGAATAATAAAGTCCTATAATTATTTCCATTAATTTTAGTGTGCGTCCCACATAGGCGTAGATATGTCTGTAGCCGATTACTATATTAGCTAATTAGTATACTAGGACAAATATAATCACTCCTCAGTCACATTCTAGAGTTCAGAAAAAGAGTAAAAAACTGAATATTAAAAACTGGAGTTATTTCTATTTTAAAGAAGTCATTTTGGCTAGTATCCCGAACCGAGATATTATATGTGCAATTTTTTTCATGGAAGCCTTTTTATTTAGTATCCACTACAGGCACGTAGCCAGGATTTTTCTTTGGGGGCCCTTGGCGAGCGGAGCGAGCCGACCCGTTCAATCCAGCTGCACAACAAAATTTGTTGTTTTCTTGATTTTTTATGTATGGTGTAAAACAGTGTAGAGAAGTGTACGATCGAAGAATATTTCCAGATTTAAACATGTAACAATTGTTGTTTAAATGCTACCTGAAGCTGTTCAAATGAAATTGAACTGGGAGAATCGAGAAGATTACAAGTCACAGCTACGTACAACAATCAGGGTCAGGAATGAAAAGGGATAAGTAGATAGAGCTCCTTATAATCCCTGACTACGACAGGGAGCTGAAGGCAGATCTGGGAGGGTCTGGGCACAATATTATATTGCTATTATATTATCATCTGCACACTTATACTTTAACTTAGCTTAAACTAATTACAACACTACAAATCCATTACATTTATTGAGGATATGAGTATGACGTATTTATGTCGATACGTTATTCAACTATTTATTTCTATTAGAATCTGTCTTCACTAAGTCTATTTAGAGACAATCAGAAATTTGAATCATTTATCAAGACATTATACTTATACATCACAAAACCTCCGACTTGATTTACAACTTAACTTCACAAACACTAATCATATAATACAAACTTACTCTGTCGGTTATCATACTATAATTCAAGGCAACATTAGCGTCCGTGAATTGATCTCTGCAGGAGCCCTCCCTTACTAAAACTTGTGTCTTCATCTGCCGTATTACTTGGGAATATCGCCGGTCTCAGCTTCAAACATAAAGGTATGATATTCAATAGACGCCGCTCTGCAAACGTCACCTGAAAAGGGATAAGTAGATAGAGCTCCTTATAATCCCTGACTACGACAGGGAGCTGAAGGCAGATCTGGGAGGGTCTGGGCACAATATTATATTGCTATATTATCATCTGCACACTTATTCTTAGTTTTAAACTAATTACAACACTACAAATCCATTACATTTATTGAGGATATGAGTATGACGTAGTTATGTCGATACGTTATTCAACTATTTATTTCTATTAGAATCTGTCTTCACCAAGTCTATTTAGAGACAATCAGAAATTTGAATCATTTATCATTTATCAAGACATTATACTTATACATCACAAAACCTCCGACTTGATTTACAACTTAACTTCACAAACACTAATCATATAATACAAACTTACTCTGTCGGTTATCATATTATAATTCAAGGCAACATTAGCGTCCGTGAATTGATCTCTGCAGGAGCCCTCCCTTACTAAAACTTGTGTCTTCATCTGCCGTATTACTTGGGAATATCGCCGGTCTCAGCTTCAAACATAAAGGTATGATATTTAATAGACGCCGCTCTGCAAACGTCACCTTATCACCTACCTGAAACAGATTTTAAGATAAGCAACTAAATAAAGATTCGTTGAGATTCTGAGTTTCTGCCCTGACGGCTAACCAAATAAAATTTGGTCGGACAGACTCATCTCGCATATTAGGAAAAGCAGCTGAGGTTTAAGATATTTACCTTCTTTCAGATTTCTTTTTTAGACTGAACTAAACTTTAAACGATAACCTCTGAATGATCTGAACAACTAACTTTAAGGACATCGATCCTAAGAAATGGCCGTTTTTAAAAGCTTTAAAAAATTTCAAAGGGTCTACACAATGTCAATAACGCGCGGCCGGCTGGCGCTAGATATTGTAAAAGGCTTACGATTTTTTCCTTTATTCATCAGAAAGTCAATGTGGCAGACATAAAGAGCTAAAACTCTGTCAAAGCTTCTAGATCAATCTTTCGATACTGTTTAGGCGGGAACTACAGGAGGTGCTATTTTCAGGTCCGTCTAGATCTCTGATAGGAAAAGTTAGTGGATCACTGGATCCGTCCCTGAAGTGAAACAAATGTTACTATCTTGCAAATGTTAACCATTTTATTTCGATTAGAATCGAATTTAACATACTTAAACTTGATATGATGTAATAATGAGGTACGTGTAAAAATCAAGGGTATCCCTCGAGCCAGTTCAGCTTGTGTAATATAACAAAATAAATAGGGAAAAATAAGGGAGAGTACCTGGTGCCATGCTGTGTCAACAGAAGCGCTGAGGATAAATTCAGTGAGCATTAGTTGGAAAGGATTGTCATCAGTTACTGTATGAGTTAGTGTTGTGGTGGACGAAAGGATAAGCCGCTGATCAGGGATATAGGCCCCTCCTCACGAACTCTCTGCTGTGTTGGCGCAACGAGTGAGACTTTGGGGTGGTCAAAAGATGTGATGGTCCCGTCAAGTCTTGGCGAAACTCAACATAGGTCAGATAGGTAGAAAACAATGCCATTGGAAAACTCTATCCAATGCAATAGTCACATTATAGTCATTTCTAGAGAAAAAAAAAAACCTGGTTAATGTTGTTTAATGTGAGAGAATAAGATAAAAGAGTCGACCAATTTTTGTCAGTGTAAATATTGTCAAACAGCGGGCTCCAAAATCGTCTAGGGGGAAAGAGCCCTGAATATCAGCTATCTGCCTTAGTACCTTGGCTCTAAAGTCTAAATTATGCAGCGATGACGACATAAAAAGTCGCTGTATCATGGCAAATCTTGCTTTGTCAGAACTAAAAGAAGGTTTAGGAGCAAAGTAAATATCAGACTTAAGATATGAAAGCACAGAAAGACTGAGTCAAATGTACAATTGTAGCTGCTGTCAGCTATTCTGCATCAAATAAAATATTAAGGGGCCATCTACTTAGGACGTCCAGCAAAAAGGGAGGGGGAGGTGGTTTTGGAATTTCGGACAAATCCGGACAGTGATAGGGAGTGGTTTCTGAAAATCCGGACGTCCGGAAATTTTGGCAGAATTAACGAAAAAGTCGCATTTATTTCAACTCTTTGACACTAATTACTCAGTAAGTTTAGATCCCTGTATTTTGAACGAGAAGTCGTTTCCCAGAGCAGCTCATGAGAGCCGAGACACAACTCGCATATTCTGCTACTGCCTTAAAACTTATTCCATTGGATGGCTACCTACTTAAGTACCTTAATGTAACTGTGCTAAACTTGTTCGACACTAAATGTATTATTGTCTATTCTAAGTGACTACACATTTTATTAACAATGAATTTGAGTTGGTTTTATTTGTACTCTTTAAAGTAGCTGGAAATCCGGACGTCCGGGGGAGGGGGTTTGAAAATTCGGACACACCCGGACAGGGGGAGGGGGTGCTCCCCGGGGGTGGTCTGAAAATCTGCAATTTTGACGGACGTCCCAAGTAGATGGCCCCTAAAGTCTAAACAAAAGTTCTCAAAACGTACACAACGAGAGAGTGTCGACCTACATGTCAATGAAACAGACTGTTTCACTGTTTGAGACAACACGTGTGTTTGCGCGCAATTCTGGAATAATCCGAGAGATGAACTGTAGCGAGTGTAACTTTAGTGTGCAGATGAGTGTGTACTTCGATGTATACTATTTCTGCACGTACAGGATCCTTTGTAAGGGGTCATTCACATATTTAGTTATCACTCACTTTGCTAACCAATACAGCAATACTGGGGTAGGTTCACTGATAGTGTTTCTCAGAGATATAGATGGCTGTAAATTATGCTAATAAATATATAAAAATAAATATGGTCAAATGTTAAACAATGAGATGATTTAAGAGAAGCAAATATTAGTGGACTGAAATTATAATCTGATAAAGTGCAGCTGTGAACTCAAATGTATAAAACAAACTCACAATTCGGATCGAACAGTTTAAAATGAAACACAATAAGACAGAGTAATTGGTAAAATGTTAAACAATAAGCTGTTTTAAGACAAGAAAATATTAGTCGACTGAAATTATGATCTGATAAAGTGCAATGTGAACTCAAATGTATAAAACAACAGATCGAACAGTATACAATAGTACATTTAACAAATGTACTATTGCAAATGACAAAAGTGTAATAAGGTAACTGGTAACAAGTCTGCTGGTTATTCAAAATTTAACATTAAAATATGTCCCGGCCCTTTGAATCATCCGCCGAATGATCAACTGAATGATTGAAACAAACAAAGGAACAAGCAAAATTTGTTAAATGGAGTGCATGATCAAAGAAGGTATATTAGCTCCCTACAAAAATCTAATCCAATGAAAAAATAAATCCAAAGTCCAATTGCAAATGACAAAAGTGTAGTAAGGTAACTGGTAACAAGTCTGCTGGTTATTGAGAATTTAACATTAAAATATGTCCCGGCCCTTTGAATCATCCGCCGAATGATCAACCGAATGATTGCAACAGACAAGGAAACAAGCAAAATTTGTTAAATGGAGTGCATGATCAAAGAAGGTATATTAGCTCCCTACAAAAATCTAATCCAATGAGAAAATAAATCTAAAGTCCAATTGCAAAAGACAAAAGTGTAGCAAGGTAACTGCAGGTAACAAGTCTGCTGGTTATTGAGAATTTAACATTAAAATATGTCCCGGCCCTTTGAATCATCCGCCGAATGATCAACTGAATGATTGCAACAAACAAAGGAACAAGCAACATTTGTTAAATGGAGTGCATGATCAAAGAAGGTATATAATTAGCTCCCTACAAAAATCTAATCCAATGAGAAAATAAATCCAAAGTCCAATTGCAAATGACAAAAGTGTAGTAAGGTAACTGGTAACAAGTCTGCTGGTTATTGAGAATTTAACATTAAAATATGTCCCGGCCCTTTGAATCATCCGCCGAATGATCAACCGAATGATTGCAACAGACAAAGAAACAAGCAAAATTTGTTAAATGGAGTGCATGATCAAAGAAGGTATATTAGCTCCCTACAAAAATCTAATCCAATGAGAAAATAAATCTAAAGTCCAATTGCAAAAGACAAAAGTGTAGCAAGGTAACTGCAGGTAACAAGTCTGCTGGTTATTGAGAATTTAACATTAAAATATGTCCCGGCCCTTTGAATCATCCGCCGAATGATCAACTGAATGATTGCAACAAACAAAGGAACAAGCAAAATTTGTTAAATGGAGTGCATGATCAAAGAAGGTATATTAGCTCCCTACAAAAATCTAATCCAATGAGAAAATAAATCTAAAGTCCAATTGCAAAAGACAAAAGTGTAGCAAGGTAACTGCATGGGTAACAAGTCTGCTGGTTATTGAGAATTTAACATTAAAATATGTCCCGGCCCTTTGAATCATCCGCCGAATGATCAACTGAATGATTGCAACAAACAAAGGAACAAGCAAAATTTGTTAAATGGAGTGCATGATCAAAGAAGGTATATTAGCTCCCTACAAAAATCTAATCCAATGAGAAAATAAATCTAAAGTCCAATTGCAAATGACAAAAGTGTAGCAAGGTAACCATGCAGGTAACAAGTCTGCTGGTTATTGAGAATTTAACATTAAAATATGTCCCGGCCCTTTGGAGCATCCGCCGAATGATCAACCGAATGATTGCAACAGACAAAGAAACAAGCAAAATTTGTTAAATGGAGTGCATGATCAAAGAAGGTATATTAGCTCCCTACAAAAATCTAATCCAATGAGAAAATAAATCTAAAGTCCAATTGCAAAAGACAAAAGTGTAGCAAGGTAACTGCAGGTAACAAGTCTGCTGGTTATTGAGAATTTAACATTAAAATATGTCCCGGCCCTTTGAATCATCCGCCGAATGATCAACTGAATGATTGCAACAAACAAAGGAACAAGCAAAATTTGTTAAATGGAGTGCATGATCAAAGAAGGTATATTAGCTCTCTACAAAAATCAAATCCAATGAGAAAATATTGTTTTCCGATATTACAATCACAATCCACGGACATGACTAAAATGACTGACACATGACTAAAATGACTGGCACGTCCCGCGCGGCATCAGAAATATGGGAGAAAATCTGGCACCACGATTTGTGGTGCCAGTTTGTGGCCATGGATAGAGCCCTCTTTGCCGCCTCCGGCGGTCGCGCGCTACTGCAAGCGAGAGGGCTCTGGTTAGAGCAACTCATGTTGCTAAGAAACGCTTTATTAACTTACATAGTAGTGGAAAGTATGTAAATTAGATTCATTTTATCTTGGTTGTTTAGGCCAATAGATTTAAGATATTTTTAAAACTTTAGTAGATATATTTTTGATGATGTGTGATGATGTTTGTGTCATTATATTTTGATTTGATTTTTTATTTGATTTTATTTTCAATAGGTCAAATCTTCCTCTTTCCCTGATAAAAGTCATCACCTCAAAATATCTTTGACCTGATTTTCAGACATTTTATTAGATAACTTTTGGAAGAAAGTATTTGCTTCTCTTCCCATTCCACCTGTTGTTGATATGCCTATTGGTGTAAATGTACCATGTTCCACTTTAACGATCCTTTTGTAGCGCGATGCGTTACTGTGCCGCGCCGCGCACTCAATGAGGCTTCTCACAGCGATCGGCGAGATGCGCTACTGTGTCGCGCCAAGCTGCCATGAATTGACATCGTCAATTAAACGATCCTTTTGTTGTACATGTTTTTCTTCTGTCACTCGCTAGTTATAGTGTACATACTCATTGGAGATCCAAAAGCCTTATTGGAAGGATTTTGACTCTTGAGCATACAATACTCATAACTCAAATGCCCTTTCCAATGTATAGGGTTCCATACACTCCTAGCACTAGCATCTAACCTAAATCCATTTGTTTTATTGGCCCCTGCAGAAGGTCCTCTCCCGTTGACAGAAGAAGCAGTTCATGTGCCGCAGCACTGTCATTCGTGGTGACATGTTTACAGCCAGCAGTTTCTAAAAGCTCTGCTAACACTTCTCTCAATGAATTGTAGCTTACTATCCTGTTGCTGGATTCTCTCACAGTCTCACGTATCTCTTCTTGTTCAGGAAGCTTGAAAAGAGCGACGCGCCAAGGTTAACGGATGCAGGATAACTGAGTGATGACTCTTGAAATATTTGAACCAAATATTGAATATTGACTTTCGAAGATCAGTGCAACTGCAACTAACAAACTAAACTCGACGCGCGTCTTAGTATTTTTAGAAAAGGATACATATTATTTAGTAATATATATAAAGTCAATCCCGATCAAAATATTCAATCCCGGGATTTTGGAATCCCAACCAAAAGTAATCCCGGGATTCCCAAAAATCGGGGGGGGGGGGGACTTGGGATTCCTGAAAGCAAATGCCGCCTTAATTGACGATTTCAATTGTTCGCAGTTCGACGAGGCCCAGTAGTGCATCCCGCCGATCTTACGATCTAGCGAGAAGCATAATTGAGTGTGCGGCCTAGTAACGCATAGCGCTATACAAATGCCGATGAATTAACATCGTCAATCAATCACGATCCGTGCCATGACCAAACTCTTGTAGTTTTACAACCTACCAGGACGTGCGTCGAGTTGGACTCGTCGACGGTCCTAATATATGGAACAGATATTTTACGACTATCACCCGTTTACCCACCTCATGACCCAACTTGAGCTGCCTCATCAACTTCAAGTCACTTAACTGGGCGGCGCTCAGCATGTCATTCCGCCTGATCATTATGTTTATTAACATGGTGGCCAGAGGTCTCCAGGTAAAACCTACCAATACAAGACGCGCGCAGAGTTACACAAATATTTAAAATTCCGTTGACAAAATTTCCCGGTCGGGAATTTCTGACTGAAATCCCGGGATTCGGGAATCCCGTCGGGATTAACTTCACTGATATTGTTAAAGTAGACTTACAACCTTAATGATTAAATCATTAAGGTTGTAAGTCTACTTCGAACAATGTGTCTTTTTCTAAATTTCCATTTTTAAGACTGGCACTTCCACGTCTTATCCCATAGGGAAATTTATGAAGACCCAAGTAGACTCTTCATTCAAGTTTTAAATTAAATTAATAAAATAATCCTTTGTATATTGAAAACAAGTAACTTCCAAAAATGAGCGTTATGTATAAATTCATTATAATATCAATTATACCAGAGTGAAACCCTTTCTGGCTGTTACCTAGGGAGCTTAAATCTTGTTCATAATTACGTTTAAGCAACAAAAACTTAGACTCGGAGAAGTTAAGATGTATTACATTTTCTGATCATCGAAGTTAAACCTATATAAATGGCGTAACTAAACATATAACTCAAATGTCTTAGCTTTGAGCTTCTGAACACTTAAATTACTAGGTCACCATTGCCGAAACAAATTAGTTATCAGTATCAGTTAACAGTTAATTACCTCACTTGCAGTATATAACATATTTCGAACTTGAAGATGTAGCCCGAAACGGTAACGCAAAATAAGGGGAACTGAGGAATAAAAATAAAAATTGTCTTAAATAGTACACCAGGTACAGAGGAGATAATACAAAAATCAAAAATAACTTAAGTAACCACTATTTCTAGGTTAAAAAGTTAAATTTACATCTTTCAAGTCCGAAATTACAACCAGTGACAGTTGGTGTGGCAAAATGCAACGTTTTTTAACAATTTGAAATTAACATATTACATAATAAAAGTCAGTTTGATCGAGCTTTTAAAAAACATTAAAAACTCGCGTTCAATCAATTTGTCTCTGAGGGTAGTGGGGGTGATGGATGTGGGATCTACAGATAGTACAGTAGGTTAGCTAACTGAGGTGAAGGGTCCCTGTGGAGGGACTGTCCCACGAGGAAGGCCAGTTTGTGGGCGTATTGGCACACAGCTGGTACTCTTATCGTCCCCTGGAAAAATATTGGATGTTTTAGTATTTACTTAATTATTGTATACAGTAAATCGAATTAAGCCAAGAAGCATGGTCTAAGGTAAGATAGTCCGATTAAATAGAGAATAAATTGCATTCTGCAGAGGAAGGGGCTGCAGAGGAATTTATTGGACGAATCAAAAAAGGAAAACTCACAGTCCAGTTGAAATATATGTGGCACAGCTTATAAGCTATTTTCTGGAGATGGTCTGGCTTAAGAGTTGTCTGGAACTCTAGCACATTGTAATGGGTGGGAGTTACAGTTCCCTGTCCGACTGATTGAGGAACCAGGAAGAAGTCGAACAGCTCGTCACGTGTCACCTTGGTGTCGACAATGGTTCCGGGACCGGGGTTTGTGAGGCGACTTCCAGCTTTGAGGAAGAAACGCTGTTGAATCCTCTTCGTCACCACCACGAACACCAGCTCAGGCCTGAAAGATTTGTACAGGTAAATTTAAGTTTGATGCGGTTTCTACGAATTTTTTGGGACCAGCGTTGCACAATCATATAAATTTATATAGGTGACAAGGAATATCTGGCAGGGAAATAGGAATGCTTCTTACATTTTGGGTAGTCTTGAGAGAGCGGTCTTCATATCTCTCAGCTCCTGCTCCTTGACTGCCAGAAGCTGGCCATCACCTACACCGTCTCTGAAACAAAGAAGTCACGTAAATATCATGTGATGAAAAGGAAACTGGACAGGTGTAAGTTATCACGTATTAAGTTATCACCCTGCTCGCAGCGAGTATTTTGATTGGGGACGGGTTCTATAAACAAACAACAAATAAACAAGTTATCACGTAGGTAACGATAAATGTAATCGCTCATTAGTGTAGTGGGAAAGAACTGAACCCACACAAAAGCGAGCTGAGGGCCTTACTGGCCAACCGTCAAATTATAATTTGCACATAACAAGGCTACAAAATCTTGACTTAACGAACCTGAAGACGATAACCCTGTCTGGATACGCTCCATTCTTCTCATGGTACTGCTTGAGGGCGTCTGTCATGCAGACCTCCAGTTGACTGATCAGCTCTTGTTTGGACGGCTGCCATGTTGTTTTCGAGAAATATCTGGTGCACAGATCGTTCATGGAGGCAACAAATCCTCCGACAGATCTTTGTGAGCCACTGTCGTGGTAGGTGTCGATTCCTACGTACATCACCTTCTTCATCGGAATGTGTACGCTCCAGAGTTCTCCTCCTAACTTAGCATTCATCTGCATGACAACCTTTGTCACGACAGACATTGCTTTCTTGGGGTTCAGGTTCTTCGTTACTAGGACCTAAAAAATGATGTTCAGATATTTAGTCATAAGAATGTTATGTCTAGATGTTTATGATGAGGAAATTGAATGGGTGTATTTATATCACTGAGCTATCTGTAATAACTCACAATAAATATATACATGGTGACTGGTGGCTACTTAGAATGAAATCGCTTTAGTTTCTATAGTCTTATTGACAAGAATCATGCGTAGTGTCCTCATACTACTCTTACTAAGAATTACATTGATTAATTACCTGAGAAGGCAGCGGTTGGTCGATACAGCAATGCTTCTTGATGGCATCGTAACGGTCTTTTTTGTTGTTGGGTACCAGACAGACAACAATCTTAGGATTCGTTTCGTTATTTCTGATGGCTGTGATGTAATCTTCCGCCCTAAAATAGGTTAGATAATATTTAGAGTAATTTTGATAAGACAATATTACAATACATTTGATTGTAAAATTTTAAAATACTAAATGAAAGAATGTAGGCAGCGTTCCCATATTTCAAGTTTATGGTGAATCATTCTGGGGGACGTTAATTTAAAATACCTGTCAGATCTGATCTCGAGCACGTTTCCTCCCCGGATCTCGATACCACATGCTGGTCCAACCTTGGCTACAGTCTCCAGGAATGTATTTGCAGCCTGAAAGTAATGTTTAAAATGTTTGAGTGCCAAATTAATCAGTAGTGTACACATTTCTGGCCACTACAGTAATTTTTGATAAACCTTATCTACTTAAATACCGAGATAATTCAATGACCGAGATAATTCAATGACCATATCAAATAACATAAATGTTTGGAATCACAGCAGCCCTTTGGAAATTATTTTTCCCTACACTTTGACTGGTACAAGTTTAATGAGGTTCACACATAAGTGCGAGCTTTAAACAATATAAACCAATCATTGTCTTCCATTAATGTCACATGTGTAGTGTTGAAAGATTCGGTTACAACAATAATTCTCCTCGGCACACCAAATAAGGAATAATGTGCAGGACAAATATCATCCAAGTGTAACCTCTATTGCGGTTGCGCTAATTAACGAGTTAGATAACGAAACTTAAGAACAAGCGGTACTCTATGAGGTAGGGAATGGTGGGGTGATTATAACACAAAAGCTAAACATACCGCTATGTCCTTGGAAGTGCACACAACGGTGAAGTTATCCCTGATCTCCGCGCTTGAAATAACAAAGTTCTTCCGTGTGATGTTGTCGAAGGACTCCTTGCGGGCGTCACAAGGGAAGGTTCCTCCGTTCTTGATGAGGATTTGCTCAGGTGGTTGTTGTCGACCGGTAACGTCGAGGATGCCAGGTGACATCTCTAATCCCCAACTGTGATACAAGGGATATTAGTAAAATCATCACATGCACAGAGACCATACTTTGTACATCAAATTATAGATATATAGACACCTAGTTTCATAACTGTTGGGTTTAATGATCGTAGAAATAGTTGACTCACGAAGTTAGCAGATTGACAGCTTCAGTGCTTTCATCAATGGATTCCTTGAATCCTATCAGAGCTTTGTGTCTTTTGTCTGGATCCTGACGGGTGTACTGAGCCAAATCCTGCATGATCCTGTAATCGGACCTCATATTATCAGTCAGACCGGTCATGTAGCAAACTTCTGGGACGAGATGGATTTGTCGTTCTACCTGTAGGATAAAACATAAGATTAGAATAACTGAATATGCTGATCTATACTTTGTCTGATCGCATTTGAACTTACAATATACACATAAATTATGTGTATATTGTGACATAATATTCATAAAAACTCTCCAGTAACTGTGTGGCACCTCAATTGGATCAAAAATTATCAATAAAGATCATCGGAAGTTAAGAAATGATCAGAGGTTAGGTTAGTTCTAAAGCTCTCACCGTGTTTCCTTGGATCTTCGTCTTGGATCTGTGGATGAGGAGCGGTTGGTTGGAATCCTTGATGATAATTTCGTAGTTCTTCTTGTAGTAGTCGATGTAGGAGATTCTGCCACTCTTCAGCTCAACCTCGTCGGAGGGTTTGGTTCCAAAGTCTACGTCATCCACTCGGTAAGTCTTATTGTTGTACCTGGTAAAGAAAGTTAGTCCTGATAGTATCTAACATCCATGATGGTAGTGGATATGGGAACACAATGGTAACGTAAATTGAACTACCTTCACTCGGTTATAATGTGTACAACTAGAATTGAATCTCAATCAAACTTCATTCCCAAATCCTAGTTGTTATTCACAACTCATCCTAATACTCAGTAGTAAGAGACTCAGTACTTACTTTGTCATGACGATAGATCCGACAAGCTCCTTGGTAATCTCACTTTGGGCACCTCGTGACCTCTAATGAAGAAGGAGTTAGAATGTGGAAAGCGGACTGGGTTAATTTTCGTTGTGATCATCTTAAATATTGAAAACTACTGAGATTCGAAAATTGATGATTTACCTAAATTAATTAGGCGACAAGCGTACCTGCATTATAGAATTCATGAACTCGAGCGCAGTATCTGTTCTGATAATCTTATGCTTGATATCAAGACCAAGCAGGACGCCGTATGTGTATCTCCTGATTGAGAACTCATACCCTGGGTACAATTCAATCCTGGAATAATGGGTGTTAGTCGAAGGTGTTAGTAGAAGGTGTTAGTCGCGGGTGTTAGTATAAGGTGTTAGTCGCGGGTGTTAGTAGAAGGTGTCAGTCGTGGGTGTTAGTAGAAGGTGTTAGTCGTATCCCACAGATGTAACGAAACAGGATTGAGCGAGTGGCTGTATAACACATAGCAAGTTTTTGTTAATATAATATGCTCAACTTTATAAAGACTTACTTGTGCTGTGGGATGGTTATGGATTTTGTTGGGTTGAAGTAATCTCTCTTTATCCTCTCTAGTCCCATGTGTCTACTGGCAATCCTGAGGAAAGAGAATAGTGATAGTCAGGCTAGGAAACACAAATTAAATTGTATGCCACTTCTTCTTATTTTTGATTTATTGGAGGGGATCTTTGAAAAAGGAATTTCATTATTGGGTCTTGAGGATCAAGAATTTCAACGACTCGATCGAATGATTGTCACCCTAACCTCATCCCAATTTTCACTCCTTACAAAATGGAACTTACTCGTTCATGATGATGTTTGCGACCTGGATAAATTGGTCACTTCCTTGAGCTACTTCCTGTGTCAGTACCAGTCCTATTCTGACATTCTCTTCTCGCCTCGTCACCACATGGAACTCGGTTTCTGTCAGTTTCAGAGGAGTGTATAGCAGATTTCCTGAAATTTTAGCGCTCATTTAAAAATTGAATCGTAAATGTTTCGCAACGAAGCCTTGGTAGAAGATAGTCCAGTATACACTATTAACTCTGACCAAGTACTATTGAAAATACCGAAATAAAGTATAGAATAAAGTAAATTACCGTCAAATATGTGACAATTCTTCAGGATATTGATGTTGTGTACCAGCGCCTTTCGGAGTTTGATGTTGTCCATCTGAATAATATATGTGTAATTTTAAGTAATGTTTGACTGATCGAAGAAATTGTTATTAGTTATTTAGAGAGTTTAGTAAGGTGTAAAACTCTTAGTTCAAACAGAATGATATATCATATAATTACGATATTAAAGAATTTGTAGAAACTGGAAGAATAAATTCCACTTACAGCGGGTTCAAAGGTAACATGGTACTGATAAAAAGGCTGCGCGTTCTTGATGTTTAGCTCAAAATAGTTGGTCAACATCTCTACTGGCCGTCCTCCGTTTCCTTGAGTCGTTTCTAGGTTCTCCGGTCTGAGAACTATTTGCTGAAACAAAAGTGTGATCAAGGAGATGATTCAGTATATTCACAAGGACGAAAATGTGTGGTATTACATAGTTTGGACCGATAGATGCGCAGTATATCTCACCAGTAGTGAGTAGGGTTAGTTTCTGTTTTAATCTTGCCGAAAAAAAACATTTGCATAAAGTTCGTACAGATCGTTTAAGTGACTAAGGTAAAATGTACATATTATAGTTTAGTTCAGATAATACAAAAAAACTTACCGCATAGCGAGAACCTCTTTCTCGTACACCTCCTCCGTTTTGTCTAGGTGCTCCTCCTGATGGTGGGGCGGCTGCTTGTGCTCCGATGTTCATTGCTGCGAGCTGTTGGCATGGCGGCGCTTCAGCAGCTGCTGGTACACCTGAATATAATAAAATTTATCGCATGGTGCCATCAAACGGTATGTCTTCCTCAGTAATTCGCATCTTATGTTAAATATTGAACCTATTGAGTTTAGAAGTAGGCATCTTCACGGTCATCACGCAATCTGCGGACATTTCATTGAGAAGAATGATTTGTTAAAAACTAACCTCGTGCTCTTCCTCTTCCTCTGGGGGCCGCTCCAACAGGACCTGGAGCTGGGGCTCCGGCAGCCGCTGCTGGGGCTGATCTTCCACGAGCTCTACCACGGGCTCGACCACGGTCTGCCATATTACCTGAGATATGCTACAATCGTTGGAACGGTTAGTTACATTATGGATGCAGGTATTCCTTCAAGTCAAAGTAATATATAGTAGCATTGATTTACAGATCAAGAGGACAAGGTGTTAAACATCGGACATAATAGCAACAACAAAATTACGGTAGTACTGGCAATATATCGGACCACATAGACCTGTGTGTAACGTGTTATGTAGGTGTTACATCAAAGATACTTAGTAACTGAAAGTAAGTGCACACCTGCCAAAATGAAACTCAGTCACCTTTACAAACACCTGCCCCTGAGGAGGGCACTAACTTGCAGTTAATAAATGTTAGCTGAATGTTTTACTCAGTAAACTTGTACAGTCGAGTCTAAATATTTCCCTCCATTGTTGAACAGGTGTTCAACTCAGTAAACTTGTACAGTCGAGTCTAAATATTTCCCTCCATTGTTGAGCAGGTGTTCAACAAAATCGAACATGAACAACATGTTTAATTTTGTGCATGAGAAATATCTAAATATTTGCCAATAAATACCTCCCCGCTCTATATTACCAAGATAATGGCATTACGCGAGATTAACGAACGCAATCAGTGCTCGAAGATAAGGGAATGAGTGTTGCTAATGCCAGGGAAACAAGACTAAAGAGGACGAGCCACTGAGTCACGAGAAGGGCGGACCCAGCAACTTTCACTGGTTGAACGGACCACTGCCAGAGTCCGGGATCGCCGGGGGAAAATAACACTGCCACAAACAGTGACTGTTAGAAACAGTGGCCACGTGGTCTACTCAACACCAGACTCTTGTGTTTCCAGGGAGGAGCCCTTTGTCCTGTATACCAAAGATCTGAAGGCATATTATATGATATTTATTACGTTGTACATTTTACAGGAAACACTGGGAGACATTTGAAGGTACTTAATACTACATTTTAATTGCATGTCTAGTGTCTACCACATCCTAATCAGTTCCTGATCACGTGGCTCAACTAATCACGTGGCTCAACTAATCGCAGGAAATTAGCCGCAAGTTTTCATTGTTGAGAGGATAAACTATCAAAATTGTTACACAAATACATCATTTTATTTCAAAGAAAATTTCGCCGAATGACCTTTCATGCCTTAACAAGTGACCGAGTGTAAACAAAATTAGGGACACCGAAACACTTAATATGTATTTTTACAGAATATCCATATTAGGGGTGTGTATCTTGTAGTTATTCATATATTCAAGTGTTAAAAGCAGACATGCCAGTAATTTTCCCCACAAGATACTATACAACTATGTCGCAGGAATGAAGAAGTATGAGTACCAACTTTTGACATTCGTAAAGCTGAATGCACACCATATAAATGTGAAGGTACATTTAATTAATAAGAACCAAAATTGAGGGGTGTTCATTTCATTAACTAATAAAGAACTACTTATCAAGACCAATCGTTAAAATACGGCGTGTATGTCCGAGAAATAACTGAAAAGAATATTCAAACAATATACACATAATATAGCAATGGCCAATTGGCTAACTATAAGGTCATGGCCTGAACAAACAATTTTTTTTTAAATAGTCAAGTGATGCTAAAGCAGAGCACAAATGTGTAATAAGTTAATAGATTAAAAAACTGATTCATGTGATGCATTCGCAGAGCACAGATAAAAATACTGATTCAATGATTAAAATTATAGCTGTGAGTGTCAATAAATTACTGTGTCGTAAAAAAAGGAACGATGTACACGTGATCTGAAATACCAATATCTCAATATCAAAAGGATAGTGTCTAGAAACATTCATAGTCCATGGTGGCAGGTATCGAGTTAGACGAAGTTACACTGACTGGCAATGTATACGATTGCCGTCTCCCTCTCTCACCCCTGACCGCTATCAGGGTGCTCCTGAGGAGTGCTGTCCGAGAAATAATAGAAAATAAGACGACGAATAAAATGTGAGATCCGATTGGGAATGAGTAGAGGACTTGAAATAAAATACAAATAAAGGACTTGAAATAGAATACAAATAATCCAAATATTTGGACAGCAACTCTGACAGCCAAACCAACGGAAACATGTAAGAAATGCTCGCTATTCGGTTAGAAATTCTGATATATAAGCCGCGCACAAAACTGTCAGGGGTCAGTTGGGTTTGCACTGTTAACTGCGGCCAAAAGAAGACCCTATCACAGAGCCAATGATCCCGAAATGTTGAGTGCCACATGTGCTCTGGCCGTACGTGATAATCAGTAAGTCTCCTGGAACCGAAACCAAATATACAGCATCGAGCTGCAAATTAACTTCTATGTTGAACAGCTGAAGGGCAAGTAGTATTTATGAATACTAGGTATTCATAAATTCCTATTAATGAGGAAAAACCTTGTGTTGTTAAGGTAATTTGTTAATTTATGTGATTTTATAAGAGCTGAATGACGCAAATCTTAGCCTTGATTTGAGTAACAACTTGGCCCAAATATCAGAAAAATACATGCTCTTGTAGGGTGCTTCTTGAAATCGCGTCACCCCAAAATAGAAACATACGTGGCACAACAACAATGAAGGTACAAGGTGGCCTCTTTGTAGATGTGGCGTTATTGTCTAATATCTGGTACATTGGTGAACAAAGAGCACAAACATAAATTTGGACGCTATCCAAATTTGAAGACTGGCTGAAGACTGAGTGGCTGAGGTTCAAGATACCAGTTAATTGTGAGAATATACTCAATATATACACTGTATATTACACAAGATGCAGTGTTAAGCATCACTTTTCAAATAGTAAGGGCTTCAAGTACAGTGCACATTTGAGCCTCATTTGAAAAGCCCTTCGGTTCGCAAAGCAGCAGAGAAAGGACCTAAAAATCATTTAATAGGATGTCAGCAGTGATTTTGTATGGAGGAAATTATATTATTAGAGAAAGTAACGAAATAGTTGCAAATCACTGGGAAATAACTCTAAAAATTAAAGGCTAAAACTATCTTGTGTACAGTGACCTGTGACATGTCAGTACCGATAAAGATTACATAAACCCTACACTCAAGTAATGAAGCATTATATCTATTAGTTTGAAATTAGGACATAAAAAGGAGCGGAGTAATAATTAGGGTGGGCTAATTAGCCAATCATCCATTAATAGGGGTATAATTACTTCGATCAGACCGGATCAAACATACTAATTATATAATAAGATGTCTGTACTATAATTGGATATTTTGAAAAGGTAACATGAGATATTATTGATAATTATGTTCTGAATTAATGAGCCCGTCTTGAAATAGTAAAACAGATGATGACAAGCAATTGAGGTCACGGGGTGATCACGATTGGCATGCAATGAGGTTATATTAACACGATTATTGATAATATGTGGGCTGGGCTCGGATTTCAGATTGGAATTCTCCTAGATGCCCTAGTTAGACATCTGTGAGCTGTTTGATTGAGGTAATTTTCTAGCAAATTTCTTGATTTACACCGTTAAGAGTTAAGAGTAACATCTTGAAGACAGGACAAGACATGTGAAAGTGATGAAAGGATTTCAATTTGTAATTCGCACAGTTTACAATTTACATCCTAGCTCTACATCCGACAAGTAGCTGTAGGAACTTTAATGATATTGAAGTTTCTGCAATTTGCGGTCAGATTCAAGTTTCTGCAACAAATCCGGACCAGTTCTATGTAATGACCGTTAAATATTTTAGTAAACTGATGTAGTAAATAGAACTCAGCTGTCGAAATGTTATGGAAATGTAGCATGCATCGCATCTTAGCATGCATGTAAACAGTCAGGAGAAAAGCAGTTTGCCAGGGATCGGACATGCCAATTTCATGCAACTTACACTCGCGTCTCGGGTTACACACAACGCAAGCGAAGATTCTACAGTCTACACACTCTGTTTAGGACACAAAACAAACAACCTAATTCAATAACATAACCAGTGTGTAATTATTATTGCATGTTACTATTATTGGATATACCAAGTAGCACATACCAAAAGAGTTTTCCCGCTCTTTTCGCCTCCATCACTGGAGAGAGAGAGAGAGAGAGCAACTATTGATGCTCAAACAAAACATTGTGCAAATTGTCTTCTCAGCTCTACAACCGATTACATATTCTGTATATTTTATGAAACTTGGCGTTTAGAACTAATGGTCATACACGAACGTTTGAATCTAATAATGTACAGTACAGTTCATACACAGGGACCTGGGGGCTGGGACAGGTATAACTAATAACGTGTAAACCCATTTAAGAATCAGAATATTTCAGAAATTTGAAAATAAAATCAGGTTCAATTTTTTGACGTTGAAATGGAGTTCGTTTAAAACACCACCACTAAAATGTCATTTATATATGTGTGATAATTCAAAATGTACAGGAGGCCTGATTTATCTTTTGTCACTAGTACTATTTGTTTTGTCTTATTAAAACATAAAGCTACTTGAAAACATTCACTCACTAAAGGAAGTACCTCAAAACCGTAATCACCCCCTAAAATTTCACGTGCACCACCCCTAAAACGTCAGCTAAAACAGGTTGTGTAGCACTCAGAATGTTGCTCAATTATTAATTTTAACCACTTCTGGGACTAATATAACCTATTTCTGAGAGGTGCTGTGTCGACCAGAATTTCTCTCTCTGTTGAAAAAAATTGGTGGAATTTAGTCAATTTACTTTTTGTGACATTTTGGGGACTTTTTTTTGAATACCCAGAACTTACAGCAAACAGTAACTCAGTCAACAAAATTTACACCTGTAGTTAGATTATCTAGTTATAAACTTAGTGGGTCAATACGTCAAAAAAGCTGACTTGGGTACGCGTACCACCACAATTTCAGTCGGTACGCGCAAATACGGCAAAATACGCGCACCCGTACCCAGTGCAGATACGGGTACGCCAAAATTAAAAAGCAAACGAATTCACTTATCTCAGAGACAAAATAAAAGACAATAGTAAATATTAAAAATGGAATTCAACAATTACACATCCGCAAAGATAACACAGTTCATCAAACAGTGTCATCAAAAGTAATTATAA